GTGTGTGTGTGTGTGTGTGTGTGTGTGTGTGTGTGTGTGTGTGTGTGTGTGTTTTGGACACATGCAAGCAGTTGAATCAGAATGAGTGATTTGGACCTCTGGTTTATATGTTGGGCAAAAAGTCACTTTTCCCTCTAACATGTTGGGAATGTTTACTTGTGTTCAACTTCGAGGTCACAAATATAAGGTGGGATATAAAGAATAAGAGGTTGAACGTTTTAATTGAAGGAAAAAAAGTGTAATTTTCTGAAAACATCTTGACATTTCTGTGCAGAAAAGCCCCCCCTCTGCTGGCCCAGAATCAGATCTTGCACAAGGAAATCTCTTTTTTCACTCCTCTGGTGCAAACCCCGTAACCTTTGCAGGAGCAGAACCGCAGTCCACATAAACAAATATTGCTGAAAAAGCTTTTAGCCAAGGCTGAATTGATTAAAATATGCTTGCATCATGCAGTTTGAGACAGCAAACGAGTATCTGTTYAGGTAAAATCTCAACTTTCTGTCAAAATGTGACATCACAAATGTTTTCGAAGATGCAGATGAATTCACCGATAAGATATTAAATATGGTGATGTTTTGATAGAAGTTTAGCATGTAGAATTTCCAATAAAATACGTTTCTTACCTATTTTTGTAATAAGGTTTGCTTTATGGTAAGTCTTGTTTCTAGAAAAGCTTAAACTTGCATAAAGCAARTGACCCAAACAGCTTAAAATTCTGCAAAATTATCTCAAAATTTATTTTTTAAATAAATGTTCTGCCATTATGGGAGTGTAATTTAAACTGAGGAGACTGAACCTAAAGAGGACCAGCCCTTCAATTAGGTTTAAAACTGAAAGAAACATCCATTTCTTTGATGGAAATCTTGGATGACGTCAGTCSGCTTCATCAATCAGCGAGCATGTCGCGTTGACAGACAGGTGTTGGGGCGGTACTTCTGTGCTTTTTTCTTTCTTTCTTTCTTTTTTCCACATTATAATAAGACATCTCCTGTGTACACACAGGTCCTCTCTACTGCGAGGAAAACAAACCAAACAGTAAAACAAACGAAACTCACCAGAATCAGTCAAACCGCAGAAAGTTTCACACTCAGGTTTAAAATAGAGACGATGGTGCAAAAAAAAGGGATAAAAAAAACTCCATAGTTGAGTAAAACATGAGAAAGTTTTAATTTAAATAATAAAAAAAACCCTCCCTTATTCTTCTTTCCTCCTCTCCACGATCCTTCCAGGCTGATTCTGCACATTTGACGCAACATTATTGCAGTTGCGCGCTCTTTATAAACACTTTACGCTCCACATTAGTTAGGATGGAGACTATGGAGATGTTAATGCGCTCTCTGGTGGATTCGGAGCCCCTCCCCTTCAGCACAAGCCCCGCTAAATAAGGTGTAACGAATCGATCCGCAGCCTCCCTTTTGTCCCAGTAAAGAGGTCACCAAGACATCCCCAGATGTTTTATTTTTTTATTAATATTGTTATCATTATTATTATTTATACACATCTTGTTTTATTGCTTGTCTAAAAATTAAGGTGTAAAACTGAGATTTTTAATGTTTAAATTGTCAGTAAGTTTCTATTTAGGTAAATAATAGAGTTTGAAGTGAACGTTAGATTCAACAGACTGCAACTTTTTTATTTATTTATGTCTTTTATTGCGACACAGCACGCGCACGGTTCGGCCATCATGAAGGACGCACCTTTTTATTTTACTGAAGCTCGCAGAAAGTATGATTAAACAATTAGAGAATCCCCCCCGCATCCTCCCCCACCAAGTGTAAGATTGACAGGTGGGCTCTGACTGTCAGGGTGACGCTTGTCGGAGGGGGTGGAGACAAAAAAAAAGACACCCACCACCCCGGAAAGGCTGCTGGATGTGTCTGTCTGTCACCGAGTGGCAGAGAGGTGCGCGCGTTTCCGCGGAGTCGCTCTCTTTCTTGGACTTCATGCAGATTCTTAAAAAAATAATAATAATAAAATAAAATGATAATTATTTAAGCATTTGGTTTGGAAGGAAAGAGAAGAAAAAACTGTGTGTGTGGTGGTGGTTTACGGGGGGGCATGCGTTTCTGAGAAAAGTGTTGACAATCCTCGGTTTATGTGAGTATTTTATTATCTAGGAGGAGGAGGAGGAGGAGGGAGGGGGAGTTCATCTCTCCCTCCCTCTCTCTCTCTCTCTCCGCTTTGACTGACTGACATCATCCAGTCTGTTTTAACGTGTCACTCTTTCCTTCCTGATTTCCTCTTCTTCCTTCCCTTTTTGCAGCGGACACCGGAAAGAAACACACACGCACAACACACACACACACACAACACACACACACACACCCGGGTGGTTTTTGGACTCATCTTCAACCACGATGAGCTCGTTTTTCTGCGCTTCTCTGACCGGAGGTCTGCAGTAGTCCCGGCGACGTGTGGGAACTGTTTTTGTTTTGTTTTGATTGTTTGAAGGGGAAAAGGACTGAGAGGAGCCGCAGATCGGCGCAAGTTGAAGGAGACGCAAATCATCACCGGACACTCCTGCAGTCATATAAGAATAAACAAATAAAAAAAAAGGCACCGAGGGATTTCGACTTCAGCTGTTTTCACAGGGCTGAAGCTACTTTTTTTTTTTTTTTTTTTTTCGTGTCCAGCTTGGCCGCTGTTCTGATCTCTGCATGAAAAGTCAAGCGGAAAATCCTGCAGCAGCATGCCGAGGAGAAAGCAGCAAGCGCCGCGGCGGTCATCAGGTAAACACGCACTGTACTACCACACACACACACACACACGCACACCAACACACACACACGGACTGATCATTTTTACAGCAGTCCCCTATACGTACCTACAGTCAGCTTGTTTCTTAACATCCCTGATTTCTCCTATAATATAAAACCAGGAAGTGTTGTGCAACTTTTCCCACAACATGCGCAGCATTCAAGTTCTACAACCTACTCTTCTTATCTCTCTTTTATTTTTATTTTTCTTAAAGAAGGAAAACATGTTTGATGTGTCTGGGATAAAAAGAARAAAAAGGGAGAGGAAAAAGAACAGAAAAGTCAGCTTCAGCCCTGATTTGATGCTTGATTGATCGCCTGTCATGCGACTGCCTTTGATCTATTCATTCCTGATAAACATCAGTAAATCATTCAGGGCGCARTTACGCATGCGTCAAACTGCAGGACCCCCCCCCCCCCCCCAAAAAATAAAAAAAGGATAACTTGTTTTTCTCCTTCTTCCTGGTAAGCAAAGAAAAGACAAATTGAAAGAAAAGTTCTCAGGCGAGATAAATATTAGCACCCAAGAAAGGAGGGGAGGGGAGGGGGGTTATGTTAGCTGGGGCGTCCAGAGATCACACAGGGATGATCCTAAACAGGAGTGGGGGGGCAATGGTCACTACTGTGTCAAAAAACAGGAAGTCCCAAACACCCTGGAATCACTTGAAACACTAAAAAAGTGCAAATGAAAATGTGCAGAAGTTGCACAAGTTTGCTATAAAAGTTGAACAGAAAATATGATTGACATGTGGRGTAAAAATGTAGATTATTGTTCGGATAAACTCGCTGTAACTTTCAGGAACAACAAGCTCATTCGGAGTCTGAGAGCAGTAAATGTAATACAGTTGTTCTGCAAGTTTTAGATGAAATGTGATGAAAACAAGGGGAAAATAACTTCCAGACCTTCATAATTAGTGAAAACCAACTTAACTTGGGGTTTTTTTTTTCTTTCTTTTTTAATTCCAAATCCAGTCAGGCCCCACACTGTTATTTCTGGCCTGCTTCTTGTCGCCACCAGACAAACTGAATCCATTTATATATATA